TGGCAAGCGCCGCTACTTGCCTACCTCCTCAAGGAGGTTCTTCCACCCAAAAAGGACTAAAGCTCGATGGATCACTCGACGCGCCAAGACCTTCATCGCGCTCGGTGACGAACTCTACAAACGCAGTCCATCGAGGGTGCTCGTGAAGTGCATCCCCACCAACCAAGGGAAGTAGCTCCTCCTCGAGGTCCATGCCGGGACCTGTGGACATCACGCGGCCCTGAGGTCGCTGGTCGGAAAAGCCTTTCACCAAGGTTTTTACTAGCCCACCGCACTATGAGATGCAGAGGAGGTCATCCGCAAGTGTGAGGGATGTCAATTCTATGCTTGGCAAACTCATTTGCCGGCACAGGAACTTCAAACAATCCCCATCACCTGGCCATTAGCGGTCTGGGGCCTCGACATGGTAGGACCCCTCAAAAAGGGTCCGGGTGGCTTCACTCACCTACCCGTAGCAGTCGACAAGTTCACCAACTGGATAGAGGCCAAGCTCATCACCAACATCCGCTCAGGAGAGGCGGTCAAATACTTCCTCGACATCATCTACCGGTTCGGCATTCCTAACTGTATCATCACTAACCATGGGACTAACTTCACCAGAAAGAAGTTCCTAGACTTCAGTAATGGATACGGCATCAGGATCAACTGGGCCTCGGTCGAACACCCACGTACTAATGGTCAGGCTGAACGTGCCAATGGCATGGTCCTCCAGGGACTTAAGCCATGCATCTTTGACCGACTCAACAAATACACCGGGTGATGGGTTACAAAGGTCCCAGTGATCCTTTGGAGCCTGAGAATGACCCCGAACTAATCCATAGGGTTCACACCCTTCTTCCTGGCCTACGGAGCTGAAGCAGTACTACCCTCCGACCTCGACCACGGCGCCCCAAGAGTGAAGGCTTTCGACCGCGACTGAGCCGCGGAGGCTTAGCAAGACACAGTCGACCTGCTCGAGGAGGCACGCGAGATGACCATCATCTGCTCCGCTCGCTACCAACAAACTCTCCACAGGTACAATGAAAGGAAGATCAGGGGGAGGATCCTCGAAGTCGGCGATCTCGTACTCAGGAGGACCCAGTCAACAAAAGAAAAACACAAACTCTCTCCACAATGGGATGGACCCTATACGGTAATCGAAGTGATCTGACCAGGCGCCTACCGACTAGAGAACAACAACGGCAACGTTCTCACCAACACTTGGAACATTGAACAGCTACGTCGTTTTTCCTCCTAAATTTGGTCTTACCACTTTTTAGTCAAACACTTGCTCCTGTAAAGCACCCCAGCCTGAACACTTTCAGCCTGGGTCGCTCGGGGGCTCCATGAGGGTACAATACTAAGTACTACCTCTATTTTTTTACTATCACATGGTAACAACCTTGTCCCCGAATGGAAGTGCATTCTATTCCTTTGATTACCCTACATAACTTTGTTCTTACTCCTAACCAAACGCACCCCACCATGACCTATGGTTACGAGCAGCCGAGCACCGCGGGCCATGCCCAGGTTCTTAAAAACTATAGCCTATAGAACTAATGAGCAGGTGCGGGAAAGAAAGGACAAAAATAAAAGCTATGCTAGGATAAAAACAAGGAATAAATAGTGATTCTATCACAAAAACAGAACTGATGTATTCATTGATACAAAAAATTGTTCACACAGGGACTCACCCACGAACTCAACTATTACATTTTCTAACTACTTCTACTCCAAATACTACTACGGTCGCTCGACGACATCATCTGACGCCAAAAGAGAGACCATGGCACACGCCGCTAGACATAACCACCACCACAAGGGCCCCGCCCAGTTCCGCTCCCTCGACTTCGGCGAGCGCAACGGGTACCTCAAGGGTGTTGCACCCATAGATGCTTAGCAGAAGAGCATGGAGCTCCTGACCTTCTCATGCAGTCGAGGTAGCTCCTAGGCAAGGACACTGCCACCAAGGAATGGCCACCATGGCTGAAAGAGATCTCATCAAACTTTATGAACTGGCCAACCTGAGCAGCTGTAGGCACAGAACCCTCCACCAACACGATCCTAGGCAACTTTCCCTTCGACAAGGCTCGCCCGGTGAAGATCCATCAGAAAGAATCCACACACAGATCCATCCTGAAAGAGGCCTCGTAGATGAAGCCAGCACACCACCTCCTTCAACGGAAGTTGCCCCTTCTCAGGCAAAGACGGCTAGCACCGCCTCCGGTAGCCTCCAGCTCGACATCGCGCTCCAGATTCACGAAAGGATCTGTAAGTCCTCCCCCTCACTTACCCTCTCTCTCACTTAGGAACCGCCGTGGCATACATGCACTCTCAGTGAGGAGAAAGGAGGAGAGGAAATAGTTGGAGAACAGGCAAAGGACTGCAACAAAAAGCCCTCTCTTTCCCCCTATTTAAGGAGGAAACGCGACAGCTGAAGAAGGGCAAAAGATCAGAGCGAAAAATTCTTTCCCTTCCCCCATTCAATACGGATGGGATGCGCCATGGCCGATGAGACGTGCCCTGCCCGATGGAACGGTGCCTGATCAGACAGGATGTAGCCTGGGTATGGCCCACCACTACTGCATGCCGGGCGCAAGAACCAAAGCGCCACCACGCGTAGATGGCTCTCTGCCTTCCTAGGTGGGACTTGGAAAAACCCAAACAATGGGATCTCCGCCTGGGAGACCATCGAGCTTCCTAAAGTTGATCGAACGGCTCAGTAAAACACCAAGAGATAGGTAAGGAGCAAAGGGACAGCTCATGTAGGCCATGCCGACTCCGTCATGAATGACGAGCATGGGTCCCGATCGGACATTTCTGATTGGAGCTCTTCAAACCCCGTCACTCGAGTCATCAAGGTAACACTACTGACCCTCACTATTTCTTTATATAATCATTCATACATGCATTCATTCCATACGCCCGTGCCCCCAGACGATTCGGGCCCTAAATCACCAGGGGGCTCGGGAACTAAAGCATAGCACATGCGGCGAAATGCATCACAACGCTCCGTGTTGCGTCACGAAGCGGCAGTTGCCTCATTCAACATGAGCAATGACCGACCGGGGTTTGAAGGCTGGCCCACGAAGGGCTTGAGGACGCCCCATGTCAAACAGAGCCAGGGGAGAAAATGCAGATGATGTTAGGATTATGCCCTAGAGATAATCATAGAGATGATTATATTGCCTTGTATCCATGATATATTATGAGTTCATTGAATTTCCATTAAAGACAACCTGTATCGATTAGCAATTATGTGAATTGTTTGTGAAACTCTTTTACTTGAATGGTTATTCTAATGTTGTCCCTGGTCAGAGTTTGTGTGTGGACACACATGAATAATGGATCAGCACATTATTAGTTGATGACTATGTTTCACAAGTCATAGACATGGAGATGTCAAACTAATAATGTGGGCACATGTATGACATGGGGCTGGAATGACCCAACGTGAGATGTCGTTATTATCTCTATTCACATCATGTACGTTATGTCCTTAGACCTGAGATTGTTGTATGTATTCAAGATGTGAAACGACCTACTCAGGGACTATCAAACGCTACTCCGTAACAGGGTAGTTATAAAGGTGGTTTTCGGGTTTGTCGGGAAACATGCTATGAGACATAGACAGTCAAGATGGAATTTGCCCCTCTCTATATATGAGAGAGATATCACTGGATCACTCTAATGATTAGATCAAGAAATACATGGCCGTGCTTGGGTTAAGTGTTAACCTATGAGTTGGACCAAATATCGTGAGGCAAGGGAATAACAAGTATGTGGTTTTGTGGTGGTTCGTTTGATATGATCTTTGTGTACGCATAGGAGTTGACATGCCTTGCTAGAGGCCGCTATCAACTAATGGCTGAGTAGGAGTACTCGGGCCATGTCTATATGTGCGTGAACCCATAGGGTCGCACGCTTAAGGGGCTGGAAGCCTAGTTCGGATTGGATCCGAATTAGACAAGGCTTAGGGTTTCTAATGGGCCTCCAACTCGGGAGCTCATTAGCGACGCCTATAAATATGTGGGGTGGGGCAACGGGGCAAATCAATCCATGCCTTTTGGCAGCCGTCACCGCCCATTCTACGCCCACACCTGCTGCTCCTCGTGGACCTAGCAGTTCGAAGGCGCAACGCTTCCTCCCTATACGTGTGGATACCTCGGAGGTGCTGCATCTGGAGCACAAGGACGAACCGCACGAAGGGGATGGATGGATGGACGACCTCTCAACTGCACGGCACTGCTATGACACGTTCGACTACATCGAGTCGCTTCCGCTGCACCTACGCGTCTAGTGGTAATCCCGTAATCTATAACTAGCAGTAGATCCTGGTTTATGAGGTCAAAATTTTTGTTTTCCAGCTAGCGTAGCATCCTCATAACCCTTCAGTGGTATCAGAGCCGTTACTGCGTCGTTATAGGTTCGGATGAGTGCGTATGGAGATATGCGCGGTTGTAGATGAGTCTCTGATCATGGTTCGTGATTTTACCGTGTTGGTCTTGTAATGATCTACTCGTACCGGTCGGAATTCCGCCATTCGAGTTAAGTGATACATGTAAATCTAGTCATGGCAAGATGGAGATCAATCAGATTGATCGAATCGAACCTAGGTCAAGTGCCGAGTGCATGTGATGAGCAACGGTGATAGATTGGATCTACTGCCGGGTGCCGGGGTGCAAGAAAAGTGTTGTTCGGTAAAACAGCCATAACTTTTGCATACGACCTCGGATTGAGACGAATTCTATATGAAAATTGTAGAGAAAATTTTTTTTACATCCAATTCTCACCGGCCCTTCCGGTTTCGCTGAAATTAGATTTGCGAAAAAAGGCCGGGAAGATGGTGTTTTCGGTGTTTTAAGATTAGACATCGGAATCGGTTAACTCTGTTTTGCAAGAATTTATGACTGGTATAGCCCTTATGTGTATGTGATGCATGTATGTAATTAATTCATGGCTTGCATGTCGTGAGTATGACAATATGGCTGGAGCCACTAAGATATTGTCAAATTGATGGAATGGCCTGTGTGCCAAACTATGATGATCCTATCCGCGACTATGTAATCTACTTTCACTGCCTTGCGTTAGTGATAGCTAGTCTTGGTGGACTCATCACTGAAGGATGGCATACATGGATCATGGAGATGGAGATCATCATGAGGAATAGTTCGATGGAGATGGAGATCCCCAAAGGAACATTGGGCTATACCATGTCATATCTCTGTGTTAATGCCGTTCTTACTATATTCTACTTTCACGTGCGATAATGTTTTTGTCTACATGCGATGGTGAAGTAGAACGATCCCTCGGCAATGTTTAAGTTAAAATGCTTCTCCAAACCTTGCACTGTCAGGTGTCTTGTACAATCGGTGGTGGGTCTATGAAATTAGGGTGCCACTGGTTGTCCTTGACTAGACAGGTTCGTATCGGATACTTACAGCAGAAGGGTTGGTTACTTGAACAAGGTCATCCTAACAGTTAGGGACCTTGGAGCATGAGTAGTTGGGCACCAAAGCATAGAGATGCTACCCAACAACAAGAGTCATGTGATATGATTAGCAAAGAGTTGCTTACCAATCTACCATGTCTTCTAGCGGTGATGCTAAAGCTCACCAGTAGACTTGTTAGTTGTGGGTCTTGAATCACTAAGTTTCAATAGAGGGATATTGATTTTAGTGGGAGTAGATTATATTAAAGTTTTAATATTGTTTACTCTATCTTGGATACATTGTCTTAGTATTTTGCATTACTTTTGTTGTAGATAAATGGCACCTAGCAATCAACCATTTACTTTGCGTTCAATTCTTGAGAAAGATAAGTTGAATGGAACAAACTATGCGGATTAGATCCGCAACCTGAGAATTGTTCTCAGGACAGAGAAAAAGGAAGAAATTCTAGACACCCCATTACCAGATGAGCCTGCTGATAATGCACCTGCTGTAGAGAAAAATGCTTACAAGAAAGCATGTGATGCTGATCTTGAAGTGAGTTGCCTTATGCTTGCTTGTATGGAACCAGATCTGCAGTTGTAGTTTGACAATAACCATGCAGCGCACGATATGATCGTGGCGCTCAATGATATGTTCCAGACTCAAGCCAGGACTAAAAGGTTCAATGTCTCAAATGCTTTTGCTGAAACCAAGCTAGCAGAGGGTGCAGCAGTTGGGCCACATGTGATCAAAATGGTTGGTTACACTCAGAGGTTGGAGAAGTTGGGCTTCCCAATTGGCCCTGAATTAGCTACTGATTTTATTCTCGCGTCTCTTCCGCCCAGCTATGGAAATTTTGTTGCAAACTACCATATGCATGGGGCGGAGAAGGGCTTGAATGAGTTATGTGGCGTGCTTAAAACAGCAGAGGCTGACATCAAGAAAGGTGCTGGCAGTAGCCATGTGATGGCGGTCCAAAACAAGCCTAAGTTTAAGAAGAAGGGCAATTCTTGGAAGAAGAAAAAGGGCAAGGCTAAAGATGAGATCTCTAAGCCAAACCCACCTGCACCCAAGGCTAGACCACCTGCTGATGCTGAGTGCTTTCATTGTCATGGGAAAGGTCACTGGAAGAGGAACTGCAAGCTGTACCTAGAATCCATTAAGGATCGTGGCAGTAAAGGTACTCCCGTAGCTTGTACACTTGTTGTTTATGTTACAGATATTTTCCTTGCTAATTCTTATATTAATTCTTGGGTATTTGATACTGGATCGGTTGCTCATATTTGCAATACGATGCAGGGAATGATAAGAAGTAGAAGCGTGGAAAAGGGAGAAGTTGATTTCCGTGTGGGCAATAATGCAAGAGTTGCTGCGTTGAACGTCGGGACGATGCAACTCCACCTCCCGTCAGGATTTATTATGGAGTTGAATAATTGTTATTTTGTTCCTAGTTTAAGTTGAAACATTGTGTCACCTTCATGTTTGATGAAGGATGGTTATTCATTTGCGAGTAAAGACAATGGTTGTGTGATCTCTAAAAATGACATGTTTGTGGCTTCTGCATCCATTGTGAATGGGTTATTTATTTTAAATCTTGAAGATGCTCCTGTCTGTAATATAAGTGTTAAAAGGCCTCAGCTTAATGAGTTAAGTCCTACCTATATGTGGCATTGTCGTTTAGGTCATATAAGTGAGAATCACATGAAGAGGCTCCATTCTAATGGGCTTTTAACTTCGTTTGATTTTGAATCATACGAGACATGTGAGGCTTGCCTGCTGGGTAAGATGACCAAGACGCCTTTCACAGGTTTTCCTAAGAGGGCGGCAGACTTGCTGGAACTCATACATACTGATGTGTGCGGACCAATGAGTACAACAACAAGAGGCGGATTCCAATACTTTATAACCTTCACTGATGACTTTAGTAGATATGGCTATGTCTACTTAATGAAACATAAGTCTGAGACATTTGAAAAGTTCAAGGAGTTTCAGAGTGAAGTAGAGAATCAACATGGCAAGAAAATTAAGGCTTTGCGATCCGATCGTGGAGGCGAATATTTGAGCCACGAGTTTAGCAATCATCTAAAGAGTTGTGGAATTGTTCCACAGCTTATGCCACCTAGAACGCCTTAGAGAAATGGCATGTCCGAGCGACGTAATCAAACTTTGTTGGACATGGTTTGGTCTATGATGAGCTAGTCAGACCTACCGTTATCATTTTGGGGATACGCTCTAGAAACTGCCGCTTTCACATTGAATAGGGTAACATCTAAGTCAGTAGTTAAGACACCACATGAGATGTGGACTGGTAAGAGTCCCAGTTTGTCTTTTCTAAAAATTTGGGGTTGTGAAGTTTATGTCAAACGACTTATGACAGATAAACTAACACCCAAATCAGACAAATGCTTTTTCGTGGGATATCCGAAGGAAACTTTAGGGTATTACTTCTACAACCGATCAGAGGGCAAAGTGTTTGTTGCTCGGAATAGTGTTTTCTTAGAGAAAGAGTTTCTCAAAAGAGAGAAAAGTCGACATAAGGTGTATCTTGAAGAAGTTCAAGATGATCCAGTTGAGAAGGACTCTACGAGTGATGCTAATGTAGCAGAACAAGTTGAGATACCCGTGGCAATAGAAACACCACCACAACCATGAAGGTCAGCAAGAATCCATGAGTTGCGTGGGGATTTGTTACTGTTAGACGATGACAAACCTGCGACTTATGCGGAAGCAATGATAGACCCAGATTCTGAGAAATGGCAAAGTGCCATGAGATCCAACATAGATTCCATGGGAAACAATCAAGTTTGGAACTTGGTTGACCCGCCTGATGGGGTTAGACCCATAGAGTGCAAATGGATCTATAAAAAGAAAAAGGATATGGATGGAAACGTTCACATCTATAAAGCTCGACTTGTTGCAAAGGGTTTTCAGCAAGTTCAAGGAATTGACTACGACGAGACTTTCTCGCTGGTAGCGATGCTTAAATCTATTCGGATCATTCTAGCAATAGCTGCTTATTTCGATTATGAGATATGGCAGATGGATGTTAAAACAGCCTTTCTCAATCGAAATTTGGATGAGGACGTGTATATGATACAGCCCAAAGGTTTTGTTGATCCAAACAATGCTGGAAAAATTTGCAAGCTTCAGAAATCCATTTATGGGTTAAAGCAAGCATCTCGAAGTTGGAACATTCGTTTTGATGAAGTGGTCAAAGGGTTTGGCTTCCGTCAGAATGAAGAAGAACCTTGTGTTTACAAGAAGGAAAGTGGGAGCGCTGTTGTATTTCTGATCTTGTATGTGGATGACATATTATTGATTGGGAATGACATTCCTATGTTGCAATCCGTAAAGACTTGATTGAATAATAATTTTTCGATGAAGGATTTAGGAGAAGCAGCATATATTTTGGGCATCAAGATCTATAGAGATAGATCGAAGAGGCTTATAGGATTAAGCCAAGATACGTACATTGACAAGGTGTTGAAATGATTTAATATGGAATAGTCCAAGAAAGGGTTCGTGCCTATGTCACATGGTATGCGCTTTAGCGATAAACAGTGTCCTTCTTCAACAGCTGATGAGCGGAAGCGCATGAGTAAGGTTCCATATGCCTCGGCAGTTGGTTCCATCATGTACGCCATGATATGTAGTCGCCCAGATGTATCATATGCTCTAAGTGTTGCGAGCAGGTACCAAGCTGATCCAGGAGAGAGTCACTGGACACTTGTTAAAAACATTCTTAAGTACTTGAGAAGGACTAAAGATATGTTCCTAATCTATGGAGGTGAGGAGGAGCTCATTGTAAATGGCTACACCGATGCTAGTTTCCAAACTGACACAGATGATTCATAGTCTCAATCAGGTTTTGTGTTCACAATAAATGGTGGTGCTGTAAGTTGGAAAAGTTCCAAGCAGGAGACGGTGACCGATTCTACAACAGAGGCCGAGTACATTGCAGCTTCTGGAGCTACGAAGGAAGGTGTTTGGATGAGGAGGTTCCTCATTGAACTTGGTGTGTTTCCGAATGCGTCCAGCCCATTGAATCTACATTGTGACAACAATGGGGCAATTGCGCAGGCTAAGGAGCCAAGGAATCACCAAAAGAGCAAACATGTACTATGGAAATTTCACCTCATTCGAGAGTTCGTTAGATGAGATGAGATCAAGATGTGCAAGATACACACAGATTTGAATGTTGCAGATCCTTTGACAAAGGCTCTTCCACAGCCTAAGCATGAGGCGCACATAAGAGCTATGGGTATTAGATATCTTCGAGATTAACTCTAGTGCAAGTGGGAGATTGTTAGGAGTATGCCCTAGAGATAATCATAGAGATGATTATATTGCCTTATATCCATGATATATTATGAGTTCATTGAATTTCCATTAAAGACAACCTGTATCGATTAGCAATTATGTGAATTGTTTGTGAAACTCTTTTACTTGAATGGTTATTCTAATGTTGTCCCTGGTCAGAGTTTGTGTGTGGACACACATGAATAATGGATCAGCACATTATTAGTTGATGACTATGTTTCACAAGTCATAGACATGGAGATGTCAAACTAATAATGTGGGCACATGTATGACATGGGGCTGGAATGACCCAACGTGAGATGTCGTTATTATCTCTATTCACATCATGTACGTTATGTCCTTAGACCTGAGATTGTTGTATGTATTCAAGATGTGAAACGACCTACTCAGGGACTATCAAACGCTACTCCGTAACAGGGTAGTTATAAAGGTGGTTTTCGGGTTTGTCGGGAAACATGCTATGAGACATAGACAGTCAAGATGAATTTGCCCCTCTCTATATATGAGAGAGATATCACTGGATCACTCTAATGATTAGATCAAGAAATGCATGGCCGTGCTTGGGTTAAGTGTTAACCTATGAGTTGGACCAAATATCGTAAGGCAAGGGAATAACAAGTATGTGGTTTTGTGGTGGTTTGTCTGATATGATCTTTGTGTACGCATAGGAGTTGACATGCCTTGCTAGAGGCTGCTATCAACTAATGGCCGAGTAGGAGTACTCGGGCCATGTCTATATGTGCGTGAACCCATAGGGTCGCACGCTTAAGGGGTTGGAAGCCTAGTTCGGATTGGATCCGAATTAGACAAGGCTTAGGGTTTCTAATGGGCCTCCAACTCGGGAGCTCATTAGGGACGCCTATAAATATGTAGGGTGGGGCAACGGGGTAAATGAATCCATGCCTTCTGGGAGCCACCGCCCGCACCTGCTGCTCCTCGCGGACCTAGCAGTCCGGAGGCGCAACACTTCCTCCCTGTACGTGTGGATACCTCGGAGGTGCTGCATCTGGAGCACAAGGATGAACCGCACGAAGGGGACGGATGGACGGATGACCTCGCAACTGCACGACACTGCTACGACGCGTTCGACTACATCGAGTCGCTTCCGCTGCACCTGCGCGTCTAGTGGTAATCCCGTGATCTATAACTAGCAGTAGATCCTAGTTTATGAGGTCAAAAATTTTGTTTTTCGGCTAGCGTAGCATCCTCATAACCCTTCAAATGAGCGCCATGCGGCCCTCGCCCAGTCTGCCCCAAAGTAGACAGGGTCATCTCAACCTTCTCGTTCGATTCTAAACCTCTCGCCAAGCCCACAGAATCTCCATCAACGGGAGGCCAGCAGGCCACCCCGGTCGATCTCCGAAATGATCCAGGCATCTGCCAGGTTGCAGGTAAAGGAGTAGTGGAATGTCACAAGAGGGCTATGCCGACCTCATCACGAACGACGGGCCCAGATTCCACTCGATCATACCCATTAGCGAGCTCACCGAGCGCATCACTCGAGCCCGAGCGATCGAGGCAAGCGACAAAGCTCAGCGCCTCCGATTGTGAGAAACCAAGGACGGGGTAACGCACAAAACTCAAAACCAACCCCTACCAAAGCCCAACAGGGCTCGGTGGCTCAAGACACCCAAAACGCCTGGGTCTGTGACCTCAAACTCGCCCCATCCCTCAGCTATGCCTCGACTACACACCAAACGCCCCGCTTTGCGACCCCGAACTCGCCCATCCCTCGGCTACGCCTTGACTACACACTAAACGCCTAGGCCTGCGACCCTGAACTCGCCCCATCCCTCGGCTATGCCTTGACTGCACACCATATGCCCGGGTCTATGACCCCGTACTCGCCCCATCCCTCGGCTATGCCTCGACTGCACACCAAACGCCTAGGTCTGCGACCCCAAACTTGCCCCATCAGGATCCATGACTCCGAACTCGCCCGATCCCACGGTGTGCACCGACGCCAAGATCCACAAGCTCCATCTCGTCCGATCCCTAAACTAACTGCCTTGATCCCACGGAGTGCATCGACGCCAGGATCCACGAGCTCCGTCTCGCTTGATCCCTAAAACCAAACTACTTCGGCTACGCAACGACGCCTTGGTTGACGACCCCATCTCGACTAGAAAACAAGCACACACACCCATTGAAAAACCGCCCGATGATTCTGCCCGAACCGCCCGGGGGCTCAGGGCCTACACCCAAGGGTGTGCTCGCGTGCACCCGCTGACGAAACGAAAACCTCCCCCGCTGGCAACACGAAAAAACCCCCAGACGATTCTGCCTAAATCGCTTGGGGGCTTGGGGGCTACACCCGCGGGTGCCCTCGCACGCACCCGCCGTCAAGACAAAAAAATCTGTTAGACGATTCTACCCGAATCGCCCGGAGGCTCGGGGGCTCCTGTCGCGTTCATAAACCCAGGGTCCCATATGGACCAGCTTTCCTGCAAAAGTTTAGCCCAGCAGACGAACGCTATGAACGAACACGCAGCTCTTGGGCTGGCCCAAGAGCCTAAACGATAGGCTAGAGGAGTGATCCAATCTCTGATCGAAAGGCCTGGCCGAGGAGGAACGGCGCCCACTTCTGACTCTGGCCCGCCTCTCCAACCAGAGCGCTCGCTTTGGTCTCCAGCCCGCCTTCGGACGGCCTCTCTGACCGAAAGGCCTGGCCAAAGACCACTTCCGATTCCAACTGGATGCACCGAACTCCTGCGTACAACTCCTCTCCGACTGGCGCAATCAGAGCTGACTAGGACCAAACCGACTAGGGACGCCCGCTCGGTAGGCCCAGGAAACAGATGGAGAAAGCAAGGTAGGGCACCCAAGTCAACCACAATACCGAGGACCGTACCCTGTACACCTGTAGGACAGTACCCTGCGACCTCCCTGACATGATAGAATGCAAGCAGTGTTGTAGACGCCGACGGAGCGCTCGCTTCGGTCTCCAGCCCGCCTTCGGACGGCCTCTCTGACCGAAAGGCCTGGCCAAAGACCACTTCCGACTCCAACCGGATGCACCGAACCCCTGCTAACAACTCCTCTCCGACTGGCGCAATCAGAGCCGACTAGGACCAAACCGACTGGGGACACCCGCTCAGTAAGGCCCAGGAAATAGATGGAGAAAGCAAGGCAGGGCACCCAAGTCAACCACAATACCGAGGGCCATACCCTGTACACCTGTAGGACAGTACCCTGCGACCTCCCTGACATGACAGAACGCAAGCAGTGTTGTAGACACCGACATTTTTCCCTATAGTATTGCGGGCGCCATTAACTCCCATACGGTAAGGCTCCACCCACATGCCTCTGGGCATCGACAGTGTTGTGGGCGC